TTTTTCATCAGGATCCCAAACAGAATTATGAACTGATAAAAACAAAACCCTCACTTTTTGCTCTGTCTAATATAAAGTGAAATTCAGAGATGGGATCATCAAGTGAGAACGAGTCACAAATTGTAATGGTTAAACTGTCACATCTGTAGAATTTCAAAAGTCCTCAAGGATGGTTCAGCACTAGTGCAGTATAAACATGGTGGTCACTGATTCAAGCTCTGCTCTCTTTGGGCTTTCTCTTCGCTCAAAATTAAACTTACAACATGCTGTTTTGAATGCAACTTCATGTTCCCGATGCCATATTTGTTCCCTGTTTTCACCGTGTTAGGAGGAGAGGAGGGCGTGGCTCGCCTACCACAAGAAGAAGTGGGCACACCAGGCCCGTCAGAGAGCAGAACGTAACAAGCGTCGTCGCCTTGATGATTGCGAGGCATCGCGGGGGGGCGCTATCCGCGTCGGTCCATCCAACAGTCTAGGGCAGTTCTTCCGACGCACAGCCCGATCACTGCTCGATATGCCCTGGCAAATCATCCAGGTGAGTCCAGCTTTGAAATCAAGCTTTCAGCTATCCATATCCGTATCTTTGACTTACAGAACTTGCCATATAAACTATGTGTGGCCCACCATTCTGAAACCAAGCTAGTAACTTCATGTCCCTGAAGTATACTTTCATTGAAGTTCCACAGCTGTCATTGCCTGTAATTACCCAAGCTTTCTGCAGACAGACGTTAGACTTCAGATCACTTTGAATTCTGAACAAGTGGGGGAGGGGAATATCAAATATAACAACCTGCTTCAGCCCTCTTGTGGAATGGTAGGTCACATTTTGTGAGGTATAGGAGACCTCTGATTTCTCCCTTGGATTCAGGTTTAAAAATGTGTCCTCCTGTGAATAGTTATTTGTCATTGCTGATATTTGATGAAAATGGTACTTATTGTGAAAAAAAAATGGTACCCGGCCCATCTTTGCTTTCAATGTCATAAACTTCACATGAATGTCTTTGAAGTGCATCACAAGTAAACTCGACCTATTTTGTGTTTTTTTTGTATGCATGCATTATTCATTTTCCAGATTGCAAAAACCGGCCATCCAGGCCTGTACAAGCTGTGGTCATTGATCGGAAGTGATCTTCATTGTATCAAGTTGCTGGTGCCAAGAATCTTCTATGTCAATCAACGACATCCCAAAGAAACAAACGAAGGACCCAGTAAGTTCATGCCTTGTTATTACTCTTCTTAGTCAAGTTATCACGGGAGTCAGGTTGCTGTAGTGGTTCTTTCCTCACCTCCCACCTCTGCGGTCCGGGTTCAAATCACGGCCTGGTCCACATGTGGACTGGGTATTTAGTCCTTACCTGATCTCATGGGTTTTACCCAAAATATTCCTCCGGGGTTTTCCTCCCACCTTTAAAACTGTAACTGCTTTTCATTGTTTCCTCTTTATGGGTTGCTTCAGGCTTGCGAGCTACAGTGCCTGGGGTGCTTTTGAGGATTCCTTGGTGTTGTTACTAGAAATGATTAATAATAATAATGATTACAATAATTGAAAAGTTTAACACAGGTATAACATGAATGCAGCTCTCTGGGAAGCATTGAAATTAAATCGTATCTGAGAAACTCTGACTGTTATCATGGGACAAGATTGTGGATTTTTATTGGAATATTTTTGTGCGAATTCCGTTATCATTTGCTTGCGCCTTTTACTTGAAGTTTAAATTTTCTCTCTCATAGTGTGGAAGAAGGTAAACCGAGCGCTACCACGTTCCAACCCAACACTGTATCTGTATGAGTATGTGGTCCCAGAGGATATCTTCCAAGAACACTCCAAGTAGGTGTGCTTGTTTTAAGTACAGTTCGTCTATTGCACCTGCTTTTGCTCTTGTGGGAACATACAGGTCTGCACTTAATGTAGAGAATGGCTTGTGTTTTTTGTTAACCCAAACGGTCTACAATCCTTCACTTGTGAGAAGATTGAAGACTGTTAAAGTTAGTGGGAACATGGGACTTGGAACTTTTTGACTTCATACAATTTTAGAATAAGGAGTGTTTGTTAGCACTACTGACTGGGAAGCATTGATCCATTTTTTACTTCACATTTCAACATCTGATTGTCTCTGGAGAGAGCCATTAGTACTTTAGTGTAATTAATCGACAGATGGACAGATCTTATAAAGTAAACACTCACCTTTCTTGAGAAATGATGGTCACGAGGGTAAGGTGCTTTCTAGTTTGTGCAAAAGAATCTAACAAGATAGAGAGAAGAGTTTATGAATACCAGATCATGCCATCCTGTTCATCTGTCTTTGACTGATCATTATCAATTACATCTCTGGCATATTTGTTGCTGGATCTGTTTCAATGATGCAGTTTTATTTGAGTTTGAAATCCTCATTGTTTCCTGTAGCGAGCTGAATGCCGACCTGTCGGCACCAGAGATTGAGGGGGTCTATGAGACACAGGTCCCCCTGGAGTTCCGTGCCTTGGTCAAGCTAGGCTGCATCTGCATGGTGAACAAGGACAATGCTCGATTCCTGGCTGGCAAGGTAGGCTCAAGGATAACCTGGCACGGCTGTGGTCAAGTGCTATATTCAGAATCCAGTCGTGAGCTGTCCAAGCCCTAATCAAGTGGCTAGGGCTAGCCAGTGACTTCCATAGGGGCCTATGTTACATCCAGCCACAACCACAACTTGTGGACAAAGCCAAGGGCTGAAATCAAGCCTAAATACCAAGGTTGTTTGAACTGGAGACTTTGAATAAGTAGGGATCGGGAACAATGCTAATTTAGGCGCTTAGGTCATGCTCATTTATTTGAAGAAGATGCCATTCCATTTCAAATACTTGCAACCTTTTAGCATGCTATTTTCACCGTCACACACATTGCCTCTTATAATCAAAATCTTTTACCTTGAGAGCACACTGTATGACTACAGATGCCTGATTTCTGTCGTACAGAGCTCCTAATAAGAAAATAAATATCTCCTCGACTGGTAAGACCAGCTCAGAATGGATGTTGGTCCAAGCAGGTATTCCTTCCCATGCATAACAGGGTTCGCACAGCACCTGGAATTCCTTGAATGTACTCCAGTAAAAAACTTGATCTTTGAAAATCCTTGAATGTCCTAAAATTTTCAAAATGTTCTGTAAAAATCCTTGAAAGTCAAAGGTCTTCTTGTTTTTTCTTCATTTGAGTCTGTTAGTCAGTTATTTTCCATTATCACACCCAGGTTGTCACGTATCAGTCCAAAAAGTCGTTGTCTGTGCGCCAGTAGTAACTATAGAAACAAGTGAGGTTGAATTGCCAGCTTGCCCTGTTTAATGCTATGACATTGGGGGAAAATACATGTAGGTACACTCATGCAGCTTTATACAGTTATAGTGTACATGCTCCCCAAAAGTGTCGCTGGTATTCCGCACCGCTGTTTGTGCATAATAGTACTAGGGAGTCAGCAGCATTGGACAGCCAGCAAGGTCAAACCACCCGCCCGCCTAATTGGCAACGTGATTGTACGTTTATGTACTTGTACTGCACATCGGGCTGATCTCGGTATTGTGCGGCAGGATCACATTTTGAAAAGTTGGCATCTCTGGAATTGAAAGCCATCCGTCTTTTCTTATGGAACGATGCCGAAGAAAGGAAAATGTTCTTTACAGGACAGATGGCTCAAGCAGGATTCGTTGAAAAAAATAGCTTGTACACAGGCCGGATCGTCACACTGCCCAATGCAGAGTGCAGTTATGCATGTAAGCCATGTCCATAATGGGACCAAATGTGGCACGAAAGTCCAGGAAATTACTGTTGAAAACTCCTGGAATGTCCCAGAAGCAAATTCTTTGTGAGGTGTATGAACCCTGCTAAATACCTTTGGAGTCAGGAAGTCAAAACAAATTACAAAACTTATGAATTTTCAACAAATTTGTTCAGCTGTTCTACTTCATTTTTTTGAAACACCTCTCCAGCAATGCCATGGCATTTCCTTTTTCAAGCAGTTGTAAATAAGTTTGTTATGTAAAGATTGGGTGCATACTGCATGAAGTGGTGCACAGCCAGCGTGTCCTTTATCAAGAATTTATGACAGGCCAAGTGACCAGCTCTCCACCAGTAGGAGTGGCTAAAGTAATTGCCGTTGATATTTTTTCAATCTGCCCCCCTCCCCCAATTTTCATCCGATATCTTTGCATTGCTTGTTTTCAGGAGTTTTCTGAGTTGAGCCTTAAGAAGATCTTAGAGTAACTCTGCGGTAATTTTGACACCAATTTTGCAAAAATCAAACATAGTGTTCTTGCACAGCGCGTTTTTCCGAGACATGTCATCCAAAAATGTATACTCTTTCCTCTGCTGTGCTCCATACACAAGAACTGGCTTGCATGTAGCCATGAACTTCAAATCACCATGACCACAAAATATTACATTTGATTGAATTCAAACTTCACAGGATCAGGAGTGCCTGTTAATGCTACATTTAAAAAAAATGTGGCGTAGCTGAGTTCTTAGGAAGGAATCCCCCCCCCCGGCTGTGATATGGCCCAAAATAACCCGGCTCTTTTAGGGTTATTATTCCTCGCTGACTTCAACAAAATGCACGTTTTCAGATCAAAGTATTCTCTTTCAAGTTTGGGATGACAGAAAAATACCGGATTATATGTACACTTTAATAAGAAAATCCTTCTCAAGCTGTGTACTTGATTTTGTCAACAAGGAATTGGAAACCTTTGACCTTGGGCAGCTAGAATTCAAGACATTGGCACAGTTTTCCTATCTTCAGCCAGGGAGTCTTCGCAGGATATATCTCTACCATAACATTGTGTAAGTCACTCTGACTTTGTTTGAAGCATGTTTCTATAGGGATGAATGTCACCGGTAATCTTTGAAATGTTAACACAGGTCAGCTCGCTCAAATCAGCCTCCAAGGTTCTGGGGGTGCACAGCTCTTGAAATATCAGGCCCAAAGTCCTCCCAATCTAGTCCAAGTTCCGTACCGTAAGAAATGGCCAATGTGCTGCCAACCAGGATTGAGAAAAGTGTGATATAACAGAGCTTCAGGACCACACTTTTTTCTGTTCGAGTTTTGAAAAGTGTTAATCCATGCAGCAGATGGGCGTAACTAGCCCTACATGAATGTGTGAAAACAAGGATTTGAAAAAGTTTCAAACTTGTTTTCATCTTTGTCAACATTTGTCCCCTGGAGTCTCACAAAGAAAAAAGCAATTTTATTGAACAGATTTTAGATGGGGAACAGCGTTGTAGTTTCTATTCCTTGCCAATCGAGCTTATGATCTTTATTGTGTTAAGCCAAGCAGATCTTTATAATGGATGCAGGCTTTTGTCCTGTTTGTCATCTTGCCTTTTTTCCAGAGGGTCTAAGGCAATGTTCGGCCTGTTTTTCTCCAACTCTTCCAAGGCCAATATCTTTGCTGTTGACACTGTCCGTACCAACCAGATGCCAAACCTGACGTTGATGTACCAGACAGAGAGACAAGCGAAGTATGTGACAGAGATCTTCAAGGATGGTTTACCTCAAATGACAGAAACTGTTACATTTGCCGTCACATTAGTAGAATTATCCTTCAAGAGATTTTTTTCACCTTTGATGGAACAGGACAAAGATGTCAACTTGTAACTTGGGGCTTTAACTATTTTTAGCCTTAATTAAATACTGCAAATGTTCTTGTGTTTGAGTTCCGAAAGGCACTGTTTCACCCAATTCATATTTCATTGTTAATGTATGAAAGTAGTTTTTTCTTGACAGAATAGATTAATTTTATGATCGAGTTTCCATCCTTAGGATTGCCCGTGGGACAGAAGAGGAATTTCTTCCCCCAGAAATGCACAACTTTGAAGTTCAAGTTGAAAAAGACATGACAAAGGTATGATTAAAAGAATAACTTCATCTGTACATGTTGGATTGGTTCACACAAAATGTGACATTTTGGTTTATTTATTTTATTAACACTTGGTACATGTTATTGGTTTCCACAGAGATGGAGTACAGATTTAATTGTGCACAAGTTAGTTTCATGTGAATGAGTTAAATTGTGGAAATACTAACTATGGTGTGTTTCTGAGCCAAGAATCAAAAACTGGTTTTTTTTTCGACAATGTTGGCTTCTCTTGTAGTTTCTAACCACTGTGTGTTCCAGGCTCTTTGTTACATTTCACAATAAATCCATTAAATTGACTCTTTTTATGAGCAAGTTCTTTCTAGAACCATGAACTGACTGAATGAAGTCAGTTCTTAGCTCTCTACTCCAATAAGTGAAACTTTGCTACATCACTAGACATTACTCCTATAATTTAATGGCCACTGCAGGTGTACCGAGCTATCAACCGCTTGCTGTCGTCTTACAAAGACGAGAGGAAGGGGCCCACATTTATTGCTGTCCAGTCACCAGTGGGTGAGTCTGTCAATGTCCAAAAAAATGGGGGAGATGATTCCTGATCACCTTGTCATCTTTGAACACCATGTTCGTTTTGGTTTGTCAAATGAGAACCTGTGCACACCCCATAGCCCTGCATACAAACATAAGAGAAGGGTCGTGTTTATTCCAAGATAGGGACTTCTCATCTAAATACTCACCAGTGACGCAATGGAGAATTAGGCACACTTGATTCTGGCAGGTTTTTCCACAAGTTAGACATGCATACTTCATGGCAACATGTACTTCCATGTACCAGTGTGCATGAATGCAGAGCGAGCCTCCCTGGATGTCGCTGCTAAAGTGAAGCTCCCTCTTATCGTCGCATGAGGGGTTCACAGCCAATATTGCATCAAGTTTGCTGTAGAGTGACACCATTAGACAACAGTGACCATCTATTTCACCTTGGAACTAACTAAAGGATGGCTAGCCCTCCTCTTTGCTGTAAAAGTCACAGACTGTCAAAAATTCCTTCCACTTGATTTGCCGCAGTACACACATACATACACAAGGATCATTTGACTGCTTTTGACTGATAGGACAGTTTAGATGAGAATGGTCATTACTGCCGCCGTAGAATTGTAGGAACCCAAAAGATTGTAAAGTTGGTGAGTTAGCCAAAGGCTACTCATGGTCTGTAAGTCTGCACGTGTCGTTGAGTCCTTAAATACGCCAAATACTTGTTAGTGGCTTCCATTCGTTTTGTCGCTGATAACTCGCTATTACAACAGTTGTTAATTTTTTTTCTTTTGAAATTGAAAAAAATCACCTTTGCTGGAACATGTACAACCCTTTTCTTGTCAGACAACATGGAACTGGCTCGTCATATCCCCATGCTAGACGACTTCCCATTGGTTCGTCTACACGTCAATGACGGTGAGAATCTCTACAGCGTCCTGGACTGGCAGAGACAAGGTTCCAGACGACTCCTTCAGCATTACCTCAATGTGGACTATCTTCTCCTGGTATGTTGATGCTTGTTCAAGCAAGCATGTCGGCCAGGTCTGCCTCAGTGTTGAGGTGGACAGAGTTGGCATCTGTCCTTGCCCTTGCAGTGGGTAAGGACGGTGTTTACCTCGTCATCAGTCACTGAATTTTTTTTTTAATGCAGATTCGATATCTTATATCATTTCAACTCTTCATTGCTAAGTAGCAGAATCAAGGCACTAAAAACAATCTATGCTTATAGTAGAGTCTAAAAAATTGATATTTATAGAGTGATGAAGTGAATTACAAGCACAGTTACTTATGTAAAAGACATTTGTGCGAGAACCAGTGAGTGAACCAACATGCACGTGCACTCCGTTCATTTACACTATGAATACTGGTTAAAAATGACATCACGCTTTGGTACTCTGCAAGCTCTAGGTTCACCATTGAATCTTCCAATTCTCATGGGAAAGGTCCCGACCACAGCTTCGGCGTATCAAGCGCAACTGAGCCCCACTGGAAGATGGTGCTGCTGATGTAAAAGTTGTGATTTTAACCTACTGTAGCTATAACCAACTGTGAGCAGTGCAGGCAAATTTGTTCTTAAGCTCAGGAAAACTTGACCTTGACAGATTTTTTTGTTGAGGAAAGGATGGGTTACTAATTCATCTTGTCTCTTCTCTTTCCTCAGAGCTATCTGGAGCAGAGTCGTTACTTCCACGTTCCTGTTGGTAATCTCCCTGAGGATACCGGGATCTTTGGGGCCGACCTCTTCTACGCCCGGCACCTGCAGAAACACAGCCATGTGATGTGGGCATCGCCCACAGAACGGCCGGATCTAGGAGGGAGGGAAGCTGACGATAGCAGGTTGGTTTGTTTTATCCTTGTTTACTTTCTTGCAAAGACAAATCGGCCGAAATTCCTACATTTATTCTTGTCTGTGTTTTTCTTGCTATTATTATTTTCTTGCTATTCTTTTCTATTAAGTAAAAGCAGTGACTCAAACTTTCTGTGTTGAATTTTTGATTTCAAAAGGCACAACCAAAACAAAAATCTGACAAACGAACAGACACAAAAATCTCTTTCCTTTAACCCGTTGACTTGCAGAGTGCCCACACGTGCAAAGCACCACCCTGAGGAAAAAAAAGAAATAAGTATTACATTCCCCTCGTTAGTCCACGCAGCACCTGTGAATGGAGATTTATGAGGTAGTTTGGTCATGGTAAGGTACACTTGAAGTTCTTGACCCTTTCATGCAGGCTCGTGACTGAGTTTGAAGAGAGTTCCAGCATCGACATGAACCAGTCTGGCTGTTATCGTACCATCTGCGTGGAGCTGGACATGGCTAGCTTAGCGGTCAATACACTACTACAGGTCAGTGTGGCATGGTAACAGCGGGGATGTTATCCCGGCTGCCGTACCCTCTTTCATCCCTTTTCAACATCCAGGGTTATGGTTTGTCAGGACTTTTTCCTGATTTCATGATTTTGTCATCAGCATTTTCCCGATTTCAGGATTGTTTTTAAACAATCTGTTTTTAAAATCTGGAGTATTCAGGGTTTACCAATGTGAACTTTTTACACTTAAATTTTGATAAAGAGCACAAGAAATGGTTATTTCAAGGGGTTCCTTTAAGGCAAACACAAAAGCAAACCGTCAACCCTACACTGCTGGGGCCCCCTCAAACCTTTTGGTGATTATTTCATGGATTTGTAATTTTTCTCCAATCTTACCTTTGAACATCCGGATAACATCAGCAGCACACAGGTGCAGGTATTTCCCATATGCCTGAAATTTAGGCAAAACTGTCAAAACTCACTTAAATTCTTGTTATAAGAGTGATTTAGAATAATTCTGTATTTTTAAGATGTGTGAGATTTATTTAAGTTCCTAGGAGCTTGTGTGTGGAATAAACCTGTCAAAGCCAAGAACGCTATGCAGTTGAAGAGGATAACAAAATCCACATCCCTTATGCATGGCTTCCAGTTGCTGTTAGTTGTTTATGAACGTGTGATAAACAGTCAAAGAAATTATAATAATAATGATTATTTTGCATTGTACCAAGTCTGCCTAAATTAACACTCTAGGTACTTCACTTAATACAGTAATATTAATATGATCGTGACAAAAGAAAACTTAAATTAATAATTATCAATTTAAATGCAAACTAAACTAATAAGAAACTTTAAGAATTAATATTAAATGAAATATAATACGTTTCATCAATTGGCAGAGTTAATAATGAGTATAAAGGGCCCAATAGGCTGCAGAATTAATTTTTCACTGGATTCCTTGTGCCAGATTGAAGTGGTGAGTTAATTCTGTTCCTTTTCCAATGTTAGTCTCATCACATCAATGAGATGGAGGGCAGTGCAGGCAGCATCGCTTTTGACGCCACCCCTCAGATCTCTTTGGAAGACATGGTGACTGGAAATGCTGGTACGGCAACGCTGCTGTCCAGCTACGATGAAACCGCGCTCTGCTCTGTAGCGTTCAGGTGTGTTAGCTTTGGGTGTTAGTTGTCAGGTCATATCACCGCGATAACGCAGCACTTGCTAAGGCTTAATAGACAGAGCCTCTCCTCAATCCCATTCCATCCAGCCCTCTTAACTTGTACATGGGAAACAAAATCATAGGAGCTGTATATACGGCAGTGTTGTTTTATAGCCATGAGTGAAGCTGAAGAACAAAGCCAATTTGAGAAAAAACTTGCACTATGCTGATTGGTATTCCTCAAACTGGTTGCATACATATAACAAGTACACGATTACTGTTTTGTTCTTTAATTTTGTTATTCTCCAGAATCATGAAGAGCATGGTGCATGGTTGGCTGCGTGATGTCACGACGTATAGCAATGTCTTTGCTGATCATCAGATTGTGCACTTCTATCGGTAATCTTTTGCTTGAGGTTTTCTTTTTGAAACATTTCCCTTGATGATTTCAAGTTTCGATTTTGAAAAGCAAATGTGATTCTCGAATTTCATTCAACTTGTCTTTCTGTACCGAAGACACGGATTAAATTCAGAGGTTTGACATTGATATTCATCATCATGAGAGGACTCAATTCATTTCTCTTTTGTACTGATCACTGCAGGTGGTTGCGTTCCCCCTCGGCTCTCTTGTACGACCCCGCCCTCCGCCGCACCCTCCACAACCTCATGAAGAAGATGTTCATGCTCCTTATGGCAGAGTTCAAGCGTCTCGGTGCGACGATTGTCCACGCCAACTTCAACCACGTGCTGGTGTGCACGAAGAAGCGGCGCGTGATCGACGGGGTGGCCTACGTGGATTACATCACCAACAGCATCAAGTCACGGGACCTGTTCCATGGGATTGACCTGACATACAAACAGTGCTGGGAACTTCTCATGTGGCTAGATCCAGTAAGTAGAAATTTTTTGCACGGTAAAATGCATCCACTTATCTGCACTAAGTTGTCACAGTCAGATCCATCACCAGTCTGGAGTATTACCCTCGAGAAATCTTGTTCAATCTGACCAATCACAAGGCCTGTTCTAGCATCTTGCAAAGGATTATGGGTACAATGTATTTCTATGTTAAGGGGTGCTTTCCTTAAAAGTTTGGGCATACGGCACAAAACACACCGACCAAAAAGTTCCGTTTCAGAAGATTTGATTGGCTGTGCAAAAAAAACAACTACAGACATCTATGCATTCTAAAACACGTTTGACCATGTACCAATGCGATTTAAACTTCATCGTTGCCGATGTGAGATATTTAATGTTGAAGTTGGACGAAAATTGCTGTACGTGTTTCACTATTTGCATCACTGGGAGAGCAAGGGCGCAAGAGGCCATCAGTGTGAAATCGGGTTGCTGAAAAGGGCAGACAGCAAAAAGTTAAAGCATAGTTCAAGAAGGTAGGAGCTGGTTGTAACACATGAAGCCTGGGGAGGGAACGTGTCTTTGAAAAATCCCACCCACCCCAAGGGATAGGGTCGCTTGCTCGGACTCCGGTGTCTACGCTCGAATCTTTCTGCCCATACCTGAGACAAAAGACTCTGGAGTCCAAACAAAACGGCAATGCAAATAGTTTACTAGGGGCACACAGTAATACTTCAGACTGACCACAAGTCATTCACTTCAAGTCACAAGCTTTTCAAATAATGCATGAATCATCCGTTTTTGTCATCCTTTTTGCAATCATACAAACCATACTCTGATTCAGCCGCCTTCTGAAGCATACCCTCAAACAGAATGATGTCTGATTGACCATTGTCCAAGTTTATGAAAACGCACACTGGCTATAAACTGCTGCCCTCCACACATACATTTGGTACCATCATGAAGGATTGGCAACCTCTAAAGGGTTCCTCTTACATGCCATGAAAATGGTTGTTTGCTGCGTAAGATCTAATGTGTGCAAAACTGCAACACTCTTTCCACTGTTGACAAATACTAAACCATGGTTTCAGTTGTACAGCCAGTGGTTTGTTGATGACTCTGGGAAGAAGCTTGTGGATTTTACACATTCAGTTGAAACTGGGTGTGCATATTCTGTGTCAATTGCACATGCACACCATCTTGGCTTCTGTACAGTGCTGCATAATTCCTGTAACCAACTGGTTGCAGGAATCCATTGTGAGAAGACTTTTGGCTACAAGACTATTTATTAGTTACTGGTGTAATTACTCTCTAGGCGAATCATGGTGGGGTCAAAGGTCAACTGCCAAAGTCACTGCTCAACCAGGAAGCTGGTGAGGAGTCACATGACCTAGAGGAAGAAGAGTCTGAGAATTTGACACAAGATGAGGAAGCTCAAGAGGTACGCAGACACGTAATGTTATAGGACAGGACATTGATACTGATGAGGGTTTCCTAAGAATCCATGAACCCTACTTGGGCCCCATACACGAGCGAAACTGGGCACTCTGTAATTGGAATCATTGTAGCTGAAGCTTTGATTTGAGGTTTTGCAGGTTTTTTTGTGGTGCCTCCAGGTAAAACCTTGATTCACCACCTGTAATTTAATGGGCCTCGAGCCAGACCAAGAGAGGCGGTTTTTCAAGCAACATGGGCTGCCTTGGTAGCGCATCGCTGGTTCACAAACGATTTTGAAATATAGGCGTTGCAATCACATCGCTGCCACCAAAATAAACACTACCAACCAGTATGGCTCTTTTCAACCGATAAGGGGGTGCTCCTGCTCAGGTTGGATTGTGCATTCTCTCCTTGTCTCTCCAGGCTGCCACATTAGTTTTGTTTGTTGGCATTATGTTTTAAGCTTTTTATGGCACGTATAGTTCACAAGTTATATGCATCACAAACCCATAGATTCTTTGAGGATTACCAAATGTACTTCATATTGAGAAGTCTTAGCATTTAAGATGACCAGTTTTGTTAACATGCAGGTACTGTTCGACAGGCCCTTAGCCTCTGTGACACTGGTTTAAGAATGTTTTGTGTCATGTTAATTTTTATTCAGAACGAGATTGAGATGAATTGGAATGTTATGCACTACCTTCCGACAGCAGCGGCATGCCAAAACAACTTCAACGTAAGTTTCATCAGGGCTGGAGATTAAGCCATAGTGACAATTCATTGAGAAGAGTTTGTAGGAATCAAACATGTACATGAGGTCTAGTTCTCATGGACACCATTTCAAGCCATTAATCTTGACAGAGTTTGACCACTAACCTACTAAGGCAATTTTCAATTGTTTTATGCTATTAAATGTCCAAGGCACTGTTCATGCAACTGACCCATTTCCTTACCTTAGAGAATGTTGCTAGATGGAGGAATATGGAAACCCATGACCACTTTTACCGTGCGTACATTAATAAAACTCAAGGCCGCAGTCAAGTCCTCCTACAAATCCTTTAACGCAACCGTTCACAAGTCCAGTTCCCAATGCAAGGTGAAGAGTGACTAAGGGGGGATTTTGTCATTTTGTTTGTATACCATGCACCTGGACTTGCGACTGGACGATATGTGGTAGACTTGTGATTGACTTGTAGGGACTTGTGATTAAGGCTGGGATTCCAAATTCGTTTACAGATTCCCCCCACTGTTTAAAAGGAACCGCCCCTTTTAGAGATTTGACATTTTAATTGATGCAGTCTGGCTTTCATTTTTATTTTAAACAATACCTGTAAAAAAACTTATTTTCAGAATATGTTGGTGTTTGGCCATATCAAAGAAATACCATGAAATCATCACGGAACTTTAGCTAGCTATTTACATTGTAGACAATTTGTTGTGTTTGAAGTTTTCAATGATACCGTGGTGAGACTGGGATATTTAAACGGTAGAGGAAAGTTTTCCAAATGCTTTTCAAATTAATCATAAATTCCAACCCTTAGTTGTGATGGACTCCAACGACAGCAGTGTCAAAATGTCAACTAAAGCTGTATTAAGTTTCAGCACACCTGTTGACCTTGGAGGATTTAGTAAGTTGTGAAACTGTCCCGACATTTGGATCAATCAGCAACTCTTGAAGTATGTGATTTCAGTTCATGAAGAAATTTATCTACATGCTGCAGATGATCATAGCTGGGTACATCCTTGCTATCTATCGCAACGCCCAAGATGAGCAACGCCGCACAATGCCCGGCAACACTCCCATCCGTCGACGTGGTCAGACTCAAGAGACGCAGCTCGCAGCCGACGAAACCACAACACCCTCTACAGTGACGTACGCGCAGGGTTTGATCGAGGGAGAGCTGTCCCAGCGACTGTTTGCGTAAGTTTGGTTGATTTAAAAGGACTGGTTTGAAAAGGCTTGCTCGCTACAGCCTGGTTCTGTTTCTTTCAATTCAGATTTTATACTTGAAGCATTTACAAGAGCTCACTTTATTAGCTGTGCAACTATTGAAAATTTGTAGCATAAATATTTGCTTCCCAGGTGATCAATTTAGTAAGAATCAATGTCCAGGATAATTGATATTCATGTTGAAAACCAGGATAATAAAATTTCTTAGTGATGTTTGACTTAAAAAAAACGCTAGGGCCTCTGTCCACGTGGACAACTACCTGCTCATCGGCCACTTTTTTCTTACAGAATTACGCAAAAAATTCAGAAGAAAGTGTCCGGGAATCGCAACTCAGTCCATGATGCATCGTCAGAGTTTCCTCAACTTCCCGGGTCCCATCTGCCTCTCAATAATCCCGCCCTGGAGTTTGTCAAAGCAGTCTGTAAGGTATAAATCCATCCGTTTACCAGGACTGTATCAAAAGGGTTCCCACGGTCATGGAAACGCCTGGAAAAACATTACATTTTCTTGCAATTGCAATGAAGATCCTCAGCACTTGTTTGCAAATTGAAAGTGAAACATTCGTCCACTTTGGTTAGCTCAAAACTGAAGGTTATTCGGAAAAAAATGATAAAGTGCCAGGAAACATCCTTGACAATTCCTTGTACAGCGTTGTTTCTCCAGTCACATGCTATCAAAATTGCTAAAGTACTTCCAGTGTCCAAACTGGAGAAGATTTGACAATCTCATCTCTACCATTGCTGTTCTGTTCTTAATAAAACGCCTGTAGACTACTTTGAGTTTCAGAAACAAAATGCATGGTTCCACTTTTGGTCGACTCTCTCTGCCTAGGTTCTATCTTTAGACTCAGATGTCACCAACCAGGTGAATCGTCTCCAGCGTAATCTCTTCCGGCTGATAGGCACGGGGGAATTCTCGAACGACGCCGTGTGGTGTGACCCCTGCCTCTCCTACATCCTGCCAGAGGTCATATGCCGTGTCTGCAACCACTGCCGTGACCTGGACCTGTGTCGAGACCCACTCCTCGTTCAAGACGGAAACTCGGTGTAAGACTTGCCGCATTTTTGGGCAAAAAGACATTAGTCTACTGTATTATCCCGTGGTCTTTAGAAAGGTTTTTTTTATTCGAATTTTTTTTCCGAATTTGACTGCAAGCACTGAAACAAGAATCATAGAATATTCAACCCATTTTCCCATCTTTTGAAGCGGGCAACATTTTGTAGAAAACACTATATTCATTGGCCGCGGGAAATAGAACCTTCTTCAGGGCAGGAACTTTGTTCTTGAAAGGGCAAGACAGTTTCTCATTTCAAAGGGCACTTGCATTAGAAAATAAACTTGTCTATGGGGGTATTTCAATGGGCACTGAAGCAAAGACCAGGGGCATCAAGACAATTGCCTCCGATGCCTCCATGAAGTTCCTGTCCTGCTTCTGGTCATTTAGAGTCCTTCAGGGTGTGCACCCTGAAGGACTCTAAATGATGTGCACCTGTGTATTTTATTTACTGCTGATTCATTTAGAAAGTTTGTCTATTTGAGGGCATGCAGTTTTTCAGTCCTCTTTCGTGTTATTTTTGCCTCAAAATGCAATCCTGTGTGGCTGAAGATCCAGGGAAATATGACCCTCCCTGGTCACTCAAGTTCCTCGGGGCACATACATGTAGACATGCACTAGTGACTTCATTGCTGGTCCATATGTGTTTAGTATCTAAAATGATTCATTTAGTAAATTTGCTTATTTGAAGGCATTCACTATTTCAGTACCCTTTCCTGTTAATTTTTGCCTCAAAATCCAATCCCCAGAGATGGACCCTCACATTGGCTCAAACCTTCAATTTGCCCATGCATGATGAAAAGAGATACCTTCGGTCGCCCAAGTGAAGTGTTGGACAGCCCTGCCAAAACTATGGTTAACTTACCGGTCGTGTTTGTCAGATCCCAAGAGCTGTCATTTATCTGAATATTTCAATTCTTGCCTTTAGTGCACTGTGGCAGTGTATTCAGTGTAATACAGAGTATGATGTAGCCACTATCGAGCAGTCCTTGATTGAGGCGGTACAACGATCTTCCATGGCCTACACACTACAGGATGTGGTCTGTGCTAAATGCCAACAGGTAGGATCCACTGACCTCAGTGCCACATCATGATCCCGAAAATCAAATGGAAACTTTGGCTAACTTCCCGAAGAGGAATCATTTGCTGTAGTTGAGTCTAAATTAGCCCTCCAGAAAACTTGGAAAGTTAGCTTCAAAAGGCTTGCAGTTTTCAACTAACCCAACCACAAATTTATGTAGGTGATTTTATGAAGAGTTGTCTAAACTGGTGCAGAATTTCACTGACCAAACAAAAATGATCTTAGCATTCAAAACCCTGGTGCTAGTGACTTGAAATAAAAACAGCTTATGCATTTGGGCAGATTTTCAAGCTTGTCCTTTGTAAAAAGTGCCTTTCTTCACAATAGGAATCATAACTTATTAATTGGTCTGATTATATTTCTAGATAAAGATGCCCAATATGACTTCCTACTGTGAGTGTGCTGGAAATTTTATCACCACGGTTACAAATTCAAATTTCTTGAACAAGATGAAGACATTCAGCAATATTGCACGGTGAGCAGGAACATTCTCTCCTAAATTGTTTCAATCATCAAGATTACTGTATGTTGTTCATAATTATGAACACAGCCATGCAAAATAATCGTAAATGAACCCGGCTTTTGGGGGGGAGGGGAACCGTCTCATGGGGGGCAGATCTCGGTTGTCCCGTGCCTGATCTTTGTGAAAATTTTAATCCCTTTCAAGATAGACCCAATGTTGAAAATTATTGCCAGACAGAATCCACGCCCACTATTTTGAATCACTGTTACAGAAAACCCATCGTTATTTGATTGCAGACACTATGGCATGACGCTCCTTCAACACACAGTAGATTGGGTTCTTCAGATGAATTCGACATCAAGCAGTTAACACCAAGTCCTTGCTACCTTATCAAGACAGTCATGCCTCAACGATGAAGACATGCCTCAAGGATGAAGACATCTCTGCTTAGATTATCATCTCACCTCCAGTCAACTGAAACAGTTACAGTTGAGCAGTCGGGTCATCTGTTTAGCCACATAAGTAATCTTTGGCCAGTCAAGTAGACCGAAACATGGTCCTTAGTTACATCGTTCCAGTCTGAGATTTTGTCAGAACCCTCAGTAAAAGGAAACTCTCAGTAAAAGGAAACATCTGTAATGGAGTTATCTTCGCATATTGGTGGTACATTTCATTTTCCCTGAAGATCTCATTCTCTGAAAGAAAATATAACATGCAAGAATCACGATGCTTTACGATTTTCTGCCATGTCAAGATATTTTGAGGCAAGGGTTATTAGCCGGATTAATTCTTTGATAACCAAAATGACACAGTGGTGTTCACAATGCACTTGTCTGGCACCACTGTTATCACGTTGAAGCCTTTCTTATCTATCTTTCTTTACACAGATGCTTCGACAAAAATGTGAGAATGTTTAATAATTATATAAAAGGGGGAGGAATAGAGACCCACAGAGTGAGAAAGTTAAATGTGTGGATGTGGTATTTTAAAGATGGGAAAAAATTCAAGCCATGCAACAACTTCAGAGAAATTTGTTGAAGTTCACATCTTGCTGTGCCCCTTGCTGGTTAGAGGTGTGTTTAGGTAAGGGTTGGCCTGGAATGACCTCTGACCCATAGGTCAAAGGGTAATTCCAACATGTCACTGCAGCTTTTCAGAAGTATACTTTACAGACTGTCGCCATACATTCACATTATGCAAACACAGTTTTATAAACCTCACGGAAAATGTAAAAATCCCTGTAAAATTAAAATTATTAAAACTAGGTAAATTGTATTGGGTTCAAAATTGTTTTGTGAAGTTCATTTATGTCAATAAGATTACTTTGAAGTAGAGGTTAGTACAAAGTATTATTAAGTTTATTTACAAATAATCCTGTTTAACAGTAAATATTCCCAAAGAAGTACATATTTTAGCATTGTCTTGTTTCTGGAAGACTAGTCTGAGAAGGGAAGGAACATTCAGTACACTCCAAACCGATCCCGCCTACTCACACTCTAGTGCATAATATACATTGAATACCTTCTAACTCAACACGGGTATTCTAAAAAGGCATGACTGCAGGTTCAAAAGACAAAAATTATCTGGGGCAAAAGTTGCATCTATTGCCAAAAAATGGCTCTATCCAGCAAGAAATGAGAGACGGGGGTACCCCCAACATCTCCAGTCGCTATACACACCTCTAGACCACTGTTACCGAACACATCCCCCTAGATGTATGAAAAGAATTCTCTCCGTCTCATATCTTGCTTCATATGACAAAAACGCCCCCTCCAAAATTTCATTTTTATTTATTATTTAAGTTTACAATGGGTAAAATAAAATAAATAAAAATATTACATACATAGTTTAAATATAACATCAAACCTATAAAAAGACTAAACCCTAACCCCAAAGTAGTTGCGTGACCCTGCGGGATTACTGAAAAGTGTACTAAATCACCGTCAAGTAGTTCTCCCATTAAATTAATGCATGTATCAATTTTTACCTCTAAGCTGCGTTAAACTCTAAAAAGAAATAGTTGTGTTTGATGGATAGGATTCCTGGATAGGAATGTATTCTCTAACGTGCAGTGGTCCGCTGTATTTACAAGTATATCGAATGAGCCCATAATCGATTTAACGCATACTTGTTTGCGTGCTGCACCATCGATACCTACGATGGCTTTGTCATTTAAATTAGGAATAGGTTGCCAGAAGAGATTTCTATCAACCACGCAAACACGCCACTGTCAACAGCAATAGAGACCCTTGGTAAACACTCCACAGTAATAAGAGAGTCGTGGCGGTACGTATTGCGCGCCGGGCTCGTCAAAATGTTTAACACACAAAAGATTTCTTGCACAGAGCGTTTTAGAAAAAAATATGGACATTGGCAGTGCCAAACATGCAACGACCTGTTGTAAAAGAGCTTTGCATAGGATACCGATCGATATCGTCCATTGTAATTTGTATGAAAATAGCTTAATCGTAGTCATGCTGTAAAAGCCCTGACAAATACTCGTAAAGCCAAATCCTAGACCAATCCAAGAAGGTCAGAGCACATGTAAATGTAAAAACTACTCGGCTCTTTTACGTTTCACATACAAGATTAAACTACCAGCAACAAATTATTTTGTTGTAGGAAGCCCGCCATATCTGATGCCACCAGCAGCCCCATTCATAACTACGTCCCCCATGCAGTGCCGTTGCTAACCTGTTGCTCACAACGCACTCAAGTGTTGAGTGAATTCACGGTACACGTATATAAAATCACATGGATCTGGGTGATACTGTGTGAAAGAAAAATATAACGAGTACTGTCATAAATCATTATAGTCCAGTCATCTAGTTTACAGTTGGCAAACACAATTTCAACGTGCCGCCCAGTAACACCTGTCGAAGTGCAAGCGTCCCATTCGAGATCACACGACTAGGAAGAGAAACCTGCGTTAGAGACTGGTAATTACATGTATATCCTTTCCTCGACTGTTAAACTTTGAACACCGTGATTGTGGCGATAGATCATACCTGTTGGAGGAAATTAAATCACTTCTTTCCAAAGAGTGAAGGATATTAATGAACAGGTGTTTCTGAGGAGGTAATGCAAAATCTTGCTTGGATTAGCACGTAGCAACCAGAAAGCATTCCAGCAGGAATGTGGCCTGAGCAACGTCAGTTGAACTTTGAATGCAATTAAACCATATAACGGGTATGCAACACTTTAGACGGACGTGTATAATTGTGAACAGCCGCAGTCTGAAATGTGGTAAGTAGAATGTCATTTCATCGTGTTCACTTTTAAATTCACGTTTTGCAGAAAAACTGAGTCAGTTATCATCAGCCATGTAAGCCACACCGCAATCAGCAAGTCAACCAGCCCCACACCAAGACAAAAACTTGTGATTTTCGGAACGACATGTCACCCAAAGTTAGTTGTTCTTAATTTCTTCACTAAGAGTACAAACAGGTCTGGTGATTCACAGAACGCATGCTGATGTTGAAACATTGAACCGAACCATAGAGCAAGGAACAGAACTAAGAGAGAACTAATTTAGAATCAAGCCTAATATTTTTTCGAGGCACTGTATCCTTAAAGTTTATTTCTACATATCGTGGTGTCTGAGTCGGCTTACACCAGTCTCCAATTTAAATTGAGAGCTAGGTGGTGGCGTGCGACTGTAACCACCTTAAACATAATGGTATTGCACCGAATTTAATCTATACGAAGTATTTTCATAGTTGATCATTAGACGAATTTTATTCTGCGTGGGAAAATGAAAAGTGCCATGCACTCGCTAAGACACGATCAATTGATCTTCGCCTTATTTAATTTCCTGACGTTGTCCTTCAAAATGATTGTGGATAATTCCAAGAACATACTAAAGATAAAACCGTTCAGACTTTGGTAAGGATTAAGCTTCCGACTGATTGTTGTCCGTATTCTGTCTATTGACAATCTATTACCTAACACCATTGTCCAGATTAGGCTTCAGTCTCTTTTCAATGTGAGTGACGTGTTTAGGGAGCTTATGTTAAAATGCTGCATTCCGGTGAAATTCATTTTTAACTGGTAAAGAATCCTGACATTTGTATAATTCTTCCTACAAAGGTTTTTCACGTGACGTAATGTGATAGGCAAAGACATTCCAGGAAGCGCACCATGTCCGTGGAGGCGCATGCATTTTTAAATCTGTGTATTCAGTTTTATTGGCAGTTTCATGAATGTTGAGACTTCGAAGGCGCGTTTTCCGCGCTGATCCGTGTATATTGAATGCTTTCAACAATCACGTGACTGAAAGTAGTCTATTCGTCGTCAAATAAAGATGAAAATGCTATATGTAATTTTTTGCTATATAGAGAGTTTTCCACTGAGATTTTAATACAAATAATACAAAGAAAATTTTTACGTGCTCAGATAATCCTCATCAAAATATAAACCGTTGAGCATCAGATGAATGCAGTTTTTGTGTATCCATTTATATCCATTCAGAAACACCATGACGCACTGATCGCATTTGCGAATTGATCATGAGTTGGAAAGCTCTGTCGCCGGCGGAGTGACCCTGGTAGTGGTTGAACCACGGCCATGTACTCTCAGACTGGACACACCATGCTGGATGTGGAGACAATCCTGGGCCTGCCGCGCCCAACTAAGAAGCCTTCGAGCCTCCGGAAGCCGCGCCAACAAGCCCAGCCCAAGTACATCAACAAGGAACGTGCGCTTGCCATAGCCAAGAAGTTCAAGATCAACCAGATTGGGAAGGTCTCTGTCCGTGCAGGGAGTAGCAATGCCCTGGATGACCCACCGAGAGTCAGCCTGCAGTCGGAGAAGGTCTTGACCAGACGGATCCTCCTGGACCGCGAGAAGGGCTTGGAGACGGCCATGAATACCAAGGACAGTGCCGTCGGCAAGTGCATCCTCGGTAAGAATGATTACGAGACCAGGAGACTTGGAGTGGAGTTTGAGAAGCTCAACGAGGACAATGACAGGAAGAGCTACCAGCTGTTGAAACGAAAGAGCGTGTTTGTGCATCAGCGGGGTCTTATACTGACGCAGGGAGGAATTGTTTTCGATCCCACTTCTGCCACCGCAAACAAACGGGATGTGCAGATGGGCCCTGATGCTACAAAACCACTGCCAGGAATTCGGCCCTCGCAGACAGGTGAAGATGCCCCTGGTGACGGCACATCGAGACCCAAAAGGGATAAGTCACCCTCATACATGCGGCCGCTTAGTTGTGATCGAACCAGGTCCACAGATTCGCAGGTAGCAGAGGCAGAGCGTTTCCTAGCAACACCTACCATGATGCGTTACGTCAAGGGTAACCCTGACGAAGATAGCACTGTGCTTGCACTGAAGTCGATCACCGATGGTAACTCTCCTGACTACGACACTCACCCAACAGATGATAGCGCACGGGGGCCTTCAAAGAGGGCTTTTCTTAGAGAGGCAATAAACCCGACGAGAAAATCCCCACTACCTGAAATTGCAGAGAGCGTTTCTTCCCAAGGATCAAAGGATGACGTTTTTGCTACCGCGGGTGCTCAAACAAAGACCACGCATTCTCACAACTTTCCAGTCACCACAGCATTGTACAGGAGCAAGTCGGTGGATCAAGGTGCCGCCAAATTTGTCAGCGAATCCAGGAGGAGGCATACGACTGCCTACTCCGGTTTCAGGCGTAGGTCACAGTCGAGTCCCTCAAAACCTGATTTGATAAATGACTCCAACGATACTGGGGAGGAAGACGCGAGAGCTGTGAAATCTCCAGCCGTGAAACCTCTCCGACGTTCGCATGGAAAATTGTCCACGGCCAGTCCTCAGTTCAAGCACAAGAAAAGGCATCGAAAGAGTCGTGTCTCTTTCACAAAGCGCCCAGCCTCGACTCAGCTCACCACAACCGAACCGTCAAAGGACCCGAGGTTTACCGACCTCACCTCCTTACTGGTACCGGACTCGGCAAAGGCTTTCGATCTTTATCGAGCCATGGGCAGGCTGAGCGTTCTGGAACGATGGGACCAGCCAGACACAAAGAGTTCGGGTCTGAGAACACACACCAGAAGAAATGGACATCTTGGGAAGAGGGGAAATCAAAGAGTATTTAATGCTTTGTATTAGAATTAGGGCCTAAACGCTCTTCATAAAGGCATCTTAACTTAGCTTACCCCACTAGAATAGTTCGATAGCAGATCGGAGTGAGGGTGAGAGGGAAATCCAAAACGCAGTTCCGACTCAGACAGATGTAGCAGTGCTAGCGGAATGATGTGGCTAATTAGTAAATACAATCAAATCTCAATATCCCAATGCCAGTTGACACACAGGAGAAATTATCATTTTAGTGTGTACTTTTTTCTTCAAGGGGCGTCCCGCAGGATTTGAGGCGTCCATACGCCTCAAACTCAACTGTCGCCCTTATGATCATTACCAGCACTCCTGAAAACTAGATCAGCCCCCTAAGACAATTCCATGAGGCTTGAAACAGACCGCCAACCGTTCCTTCTAAACCTATTTGGATACTTGTACAACTACAAGGACGTGAATTAGGATGAATGTTTGTACCACGACAAAATACGTGTTATTAGACCTGTTCTTCACCTAAGATTAAACCTTTATCAAATTTACTTAGGTTGTTTGCTTTCAGTTTATATTTTTTTATTTATTGATTTTTTTTTACTTTTGCCTAAGCTTTGCTCTGTTAAAACGGGTCAGATCAAGGTTCTTGAACTAACTCGTACACACATGTACATGTAGTCCATTTTCTAGTAGGTTCCAAATATATTTTCTGAGTTAGAACGACCCAAGAACGTGCCATTTTAACCCGAAGAAACTTTTTGACAGACGTTAGGCCAATAAAACTACTTGTAGGCCTACAGACAAAGACTAATGCATGACGACGGTAATAAAGGAGCGAATAAAAGTTAATGTATGGAGCCTAGACCCTTTCTCTTCAAAGTTGTTCTTCTTATTCAAGGAGTGTAACAATCATTCAAAACCAGTTTTTGGGACAAAAAATTACCGACAGATTGAATACCTCCTGGTTGTTAACAAAAACAGAATTTATTTAATCGTTTCACTCTTTCAAGTTCAAAATAATGTTGTGCTGCAGTCGGTTACATCACCGTAGAGACATGAGCAATTGGAGGGAGGTTCTAATGATCCGTCGGGGTAGGTGGAAAGGGGCTACTCTTCCTCATGCAAACTGGCAAACCATCAACAGGGGTAGGTGGTCAGTTTTTACAAGGTATTTGAAGCTTTCATGCCCTTTGCTTCTGCCATTTCCCCTTTTTTTGGGGGGGGGGTCTTTATTTCTCTTTAACTTCTTAATTGTTTCCGAGAGGCGTGGGGCGCCCGTCCCCCAAGAAGCCAATTTAAGGCCGTAACAGTGCAGCGAACTACATCCCAAGACCCAACGAGCCGGTTGGATCTTATAAGACATCCTGGTAGGATCAAGGACAAAGCAAAATAAGCTCGCCATGAACATCAAGTTTAGGTCATGTGCTGTAAGTGCACCCGACATGGACAGTGGTGGGGTTTGACTGTATCATCTCAGGGATTATTATTGGGGTTTCCCCGACCATTGGCTGATGGAGAGGAGCAAACGAGGTCACGGCCCCGTAGAAGAGAAAGATTTGTTTTCGTTGTTTTGAAATCAAAATGAGGAGTATTGAGGGGGCCTGCGCGCCTAAAAAGCCTTAAAGATAGTTTGTAGAAATTCTCATTTCTTGTTCCCAAAACAAAAACATATGCTTCCATGAAATTAGTTTTCTTGATCTGCTTTCACGTACCTAACGGCATGCTCCACTTTGTGCATATCATCAATGGTACAGGAAGAAATAAGATCGAATCGAAATTAAGCCCATGTCGCAAAGAATTGAACGTTAGCTAGGGGTCCGATTACATTTTGCTTCGCCTGTGGAGGACGAAACGTGGACATTTTCTTTGTTGTTGTTCATGCTGTTTTTCTTGTTGTCGGTAGCAGAACAGGTATGAAGAAAGCATTGCGTCCAACTCTCCCAAATCGGAGGGATTGATGAGGCCCAAAAGTATTACGTCGGATGACGAGGCCATTTTTAACATCCAACAGCGCCCTCTCCCTCATTCCCTTCGAACGCATGCATTGATCGTGCTCCAAGAAACGGAAGTGTATAAAGGCCACTTGCAATATTTTTGGAGTTACTATCTTGCTGCGACGAGTTAACTCGCCGCAGTGAGGTAGAAACTCAATTTTTTGTGCAAGTGGCCCTTATACGCCTCCGTACTTCCGTATGTACGCTTTAGTACTTCCGTACGAAGACAACACAGATGATGAGGTGAAGTTGCAATCTGGTGTTTACCCAGAGCTCAGACCACGCGTAAATGAGGCAGGTCGATCGAGTAAGAACGCCACTCGACTGTGCCTTGACGATCTGGCAGGCTGCTTGCTGAACTATTTGAGCAGCCAGGTGGGTTCATCGAGTAACTCTCTCTGATGTGATGCGGATACCCGATTTATCAGAGTCACAGATCCAGAGTTTATAACTACTAGTTGCCTCATGAAGCAGGTAAAACTTTTATTTTGTAAGCCTCTCGTCTAGCCGCCACGCGCACTTGAAGTTGTACTTATATCGGCACTGTCACTCAGCACAGTCAGGGGTCCGGCGCGGCATGCATGGGTGTCTTAACTGCAGAAGGCCCAGCCCCGGCCCAGCGTGCAAGGCGCGACGCCGGTACAGGTGCATGATGCTAGCAGTACAGCAGCACCTTGCTTCAATCTACACGTACGTCCTACCCGTAGTTCAACATGTAGTCTGACCGTGGTCTATAAACCAACAAACACAGGCCCGTTGCCAGACCAGATCGAGACTTTCGTCAAACCCAAAGGCGGAACGTTTGGCACTGTGAACGCATATTTTTTATACAAAAAGGCCTATCATAATGTGCTTCAATTGGAACACAGTATCGAACAAATTGCATGTTTTTCGCTAACTGAAGGATACATGTAATACTTGTATATACTTCAGTTTTTAATATTGAAGAAAGTTACGAAAAACACATTTGATTTCTAACCCTTTGAAACACCAGAACTTTGGATGTGTGGTAGAACTTCCTGACAGGAGATTTGACTAGAAAGTAACTCATTAATATGCAAACGTGTGGTCACCTTTAGCCCTGAATTGGGCGCTGGGTGACAAACAAATGGCATGAACATTATTATATTAAGAATATGTATTTAAAAAACACAAAAACACCAACATCCAGTCTCTCTTGCTGTTGTTTTTAAGCAATTAACTCATTAACTTAGAGGTGAAGGCAGGTGTTTACAGCATGCTTGAGGGGTACTGGTATCATTATTGTATATATCGAGAGCACATTTGAACATTGATGATGGAACCATCACAGTTAATGCTGCCATTTCAGGCATTGACATGAGTTAATGCTGCCATTTCAGGCATTGACACGGGTTAATGCTGCTATTTCAGGCATTGACACAAGTGAATGCTACCATTTCAGGCATTGATAGAGTGAATGCTGCCATTTCAGGCATTGACACAAGTTAATGCTGCCATTTCAGGCATTGACATGAGTTAATGCTCCATTTCAGGCATTGACACGAGTTAATGCTGCCATTTCATGCATTGACACGAGTTAATGCTGCCATTTCAGACAGAAACACGAGTTAATGCTGCCATTTCAGACATTAACACAAGTTAATACTGCCATTTCAGACATTGACACGAGTTAATGCTGCCATTTCAGGCACTGACATGAGTAAGTGCTGCCATTTCAGGCATTAACACGAGTTAATGCTGCCATTTCAGGCATTGACACGAGTTAATGCTGCCATTTCAGGCATTGACACAAGTTAATGCTGCCATTTTTAGGTATTAACATGAGTTAATGCTAACATTTCAGGCATTAACACATGAAGGCAGTCACTATTTGGTGTTTTGTATCTGCCACCTGAAGGTACATTAGCTTGAGGAATGCCTTGGAAGCTTGAGCATTGGAACTGTTTACTCAGACACTTTTTTTTAACAGAAATTAGTGGCTGAACTGGGAGGTTGCAATACCCTGAACCCCCAAGGTCCCGCATAGGCAACAGACTATAGGGCTGTGCTGAATATCCGAATATTCGATCGATTGTGTAATTTTCCGACTACATGTAAATACGGAGGCATGTTTCAAGCAGATTCAAGTGAAAAGTGACAGAAATCTTATGACTCAAAAAGCAAATTATTCATTAAAACATTTAAAAGTAAAAGAAATTTTCAGCAGTGCAAGAAGTGTTGTTTGTCTCTTAAATCCTGCTAAATCATGGCTGGATATTCCTGACAAGCTGTTATAGTGATTATAACGTACAATTTTTTGCATTATTGCAACTGATTTTGTATATTTTCACCATCATCAATATCTGGATGTTCGATCGAATTGAAGGTCAAATATTCGAATACAGTGTAGTGAATTACATGTGTCTGAATTGACTCAGATCAACAAATTTCCAACCATTAGAATACCTGGCAACAGTATGTTGAAGACCATATCTGCGTGCATCTCTTTGAAGTTATTGGTGTGTTAATCTTTTCCCCCAAATTGTGATTCAACATGCTACATGTACCTATTAACCATATCCCTTGGGAAAGTACTGCTCTGCACTACTCAGCACGATGACATTAACTCGATATTATGTTTATTCACAAAACAATTTCTTGTGGAGCTTCTATTCCTGCCAGGCCACAATTGATAAATCATTCAGGGTAATCATTTTCACAGGGGACACACTTTTTGTAGGGCAGTTGACTCGTGTTGAAATATTTGTTGATCTAGAGTAAATTAAAATATGTTAAAAATTTTGCTGATTTTATTCAAGTTTTCTACTTTTTAACTGTACCTCTGTGCAGTTTCCTTTGTTGTGTCTGTTTTTTTATTTTACTTGAAATTTGTAGATTAATTATTTTTCAGTTATATTCTTTTGATATAAAGTTAACGTAAATCAGAACATTGTCAGTCTGAGAACTTGCTGTTCGGGTTTTTTGGCTGTTAAATAAACTGCAATGAAACCCCCCAAAAATCAGAGGTGTCCATTTTCTTTAAAAAGTACTGAATGAAGGTCATGCACTTTACAATGTACATGTTAGTATATGTACATGTATATCAGGGCGCTTGGCTATCTACGTGTACATATGTATATACATAGTATGCATGCCTACCTGTGCCTTGTACTGTTACAAAGACCTGGGTGTGTTTCCAAGCTGGTTTAACAAAATAAAGCACAACGTTTCTGCACATAGGTACATTGCACCATGCAGTGCCTCATTTCCAGATGTTTTCTTCTGCAAAAATGAATAATGTTCTGGATGCTGGAACAAACTTTCTTGTTTGAATTTTTACAAGTTTGCCCTGATGTGACAATAAGATATGTGGGCTATTCTGTGCTGTTTTGCATCTGACATGGCCAATACATGTTTGATTTGTAAGTGTAGAACAAAAACTTTAATGTTCAAGTAATCAAGTAATGCAAACTACATGTGCATGTAAGTCTCCCCAAGTACCGGTGAGACAAAATTAATGTACACGGGTCAGGTGTAACTCTAAACAGGGACAACAAAAAATTCATCCTGTTAGACCTCAAATTTATAGAACGAACCAGCTGATTTTTAACCCTCCTATGCTAAGATGCATTCTTAACACAGTTGTCATATCAGTCAAAATCAGTCAAATTTCCCATACGTCTGTGTACTGGGGGAAATCAATTGGAAGGCATTTTTTACTGTTGGGTGGCATTTATTTCAAATAAAGTGGCTTATGTCAGTTAAACATTTTTTGAAATCACATTTAAACTAAAGTTTGAGATTCTTTCTCTCTTTATTTTTCCAGTTTCACATTTTTCCAAAGTTTCCCATCAAAACACTTTAGGAATATTCCTTTGAAACAGAGCAGGTCGGGCAAATGGGAAGCTCAAATACTGTTTTGATGGCTAACTTACATGTACATACATAGTATTTAATTCAGTCATGTTGAATTACATGTACGGTGTGTCATGTGTTGCTGAGTCATGTTTTATATCCTAGAGCAGCATGAATGCTGTGACCTGTGAGTCAATCCAAATTAAGTCCAGATGGTGCCCAAGCTACTAGACTTCATGATTGAATGTGAACATGAAACAGATGCTCCCTAGCCATCTCCTTGGTATTCTGCTAAGAAAAAAAAAGTGTCTCAAATATACATGTACCATTCATGAACAAGATTAACCTCCACTGTACATGTACAAGGTTTCCACATAAAAAGTATACCAAGATAAAAATGATTGTAATTGCAGTTTATGGGAAAGAGAAGTATACTTCTAGAAAGGGCAGAATGTCCTCTTTGCAATGGTGAACAGCTTGTGATGTTGACACAGATGAGTGAACAAACTAGACCGATGTTAAGAAATCGGCACTATGAGTTTGTATATTTGAGATCCCATTCACATTGTTAACCCTCAGTTGCACTCAAGATACATGAACTGTGTGAACGAATGCAAAAAGGAATTTTTACTCCCATTAATTAACACGTGCCTCTTGCACTAACCTGAGACAAACTTACTGGAAAGTTAAAATTCTCCTCTCCTTGACTGATAGAGCAGAGTGAGAAAATATGACCAATACCAAGCTATTTTGTATTTCTTTGTAATTTTGAAAACTTGAAAATTGGACCCTTAAAGTGACTCGAGTGACACAGTTTCAGTGTGTTTTCTGGTTGAAATAAAATGATGCAAAGTGAAAAGTCCTGACTTAAAAACGTTGTCGAAATGAATGTAAAATAATGGTGACCCAACAACAGATGGTTGACAGTCTGACCATGTGACTGATGTGTTGGCCCCAGGAAAATTTCAGTGTTTCTACTGGTAATTTGCACCTATGCTTACAAGTTCTGTACATACAGCCCCTTTATCACAGTTTGTGAAGACGTTTGCTCACACTCGTCAAGAAGCTGCGCTAAATGTTCACTGTACATTGCCTACAGTAACATACGTGTAGCTTCAAAGTTTTTATAAATGTACTGAAAGGTTTAGAATTATTTGTCTGAGGTAATCCATGCTATGTCAAATGCAAACAAGTTCATGTACCAGTAAACATTAACTGATAAAGTAATTAACAGCTTTGTTTTCATGTTTTACACACACAGTCTTTTAGCCCCCCCTCCCCAAATCTCCAGTTTCTCAGTGGTCAGTAGCTGGCTCCAATTGCGACTACATGCACACGTAACGCCGGCCGCTACCAACACTAAAATAGACTGGCCCTCGCATGTTCAGCTTGTACATGTATCTGTGCACAGGACATGAGACCACCTTGTTTGTCTGGTTCCCAGATGTAAATGTGTAATATTGAAATGACGTCATCTGAAAAAGAGTGCCCTACTAAATGTATAGGAAACTATAGGGACTCCTTTACTGTACATATTTACATACACTGTATATATTATTTTGCCGATGTTCAGGTCTACGGCGACTTGAGCATTCACCAAAAACCAAAGAAAGTTTTTTTGCGGCTTTACTTGTACCAACCAAGTTTTCAGTCTATTT